TCCCATAGGTGAACCAAATTATTATATGCTTCTATTTGTGGAGGCTACGTACGCACGAGGTAATGAGAGTCTATACGTGGCTACTAGCTATGCCTATGTCCTGGTAGTTTTAGGCTTACATCATGCCTTGTTGATATTGTTGTTGATTTATGTTTATTGTTTGCCTTGAGAAGAAGCAAGATTGATTTAGCTTATTACATGTTTTAAAAGGAGTTGAAATTGAGAGAAAATTGGGAACTTAAAAAATTTCATTTGAACTTCGTATTTTGAAAAGAATTGAAGAATATTATAATGACTTAAGAAAACTATGTGTAACCGCGTCGCATGCATGATTCGCGACCGGGGTAAATAGATGTATGTATGGATCGCGTCATTCGACCCTCGGCAGTGTACAGTTTATATTTATGTTGGATCGGGCCGAACGTCTTCGATGGTATTTGTGTGTGATAATGGAACTAGAAGTCCCCTTTTTGTAATTGATATAAGTTCATTGTTTGTATGATCACATGTTTTAAAGGAAGGAAGTGACTTAAGCTCTTAATTATAGGGAAGACTTGTTCAGTTATTTCTTGTTCTGAGTTTATTATTGTATATCATGCCTAATTAGAATTTCATACTATTATATTATTGAACCACTAGTAAGTGCCGGAATAGACCTCTCGTCACTACTTCTTCCAGGTTAGACGAGATAGTTACTGGGTTCGCGTTATTTTCGTACTCATACTACATTTGCTGTACATTTTGTTGTACAAGCACATGTGTGTTCAATGGCTTTGTAGCCGCATCGGCATGGGTGATACGGGGAGTTAGGCGAGCTGCATCTTATGAGACGATCCATAGCCAGCAGAGTCTCTTCAGAGTACTTGTGTTTTCTTTTCTGTCCAAATTTGTATTTCAGACAGTTATTGTATTGTATTTTAAATCCTAGTAATTGCTCATGCACTTGTGATACCGGGTTCTAGGATGATTATTGAATTTTCAGTATTGAAATTGGAAAACATTTTTATTATTCTGTAAATCTCATCTGTTACTGATTAAATTGAAGGAAACTATGATTTCAAAAATATTAAAATGAGGACCTAAATTAAGTATTTAGTGTTGGTTTGCCTGACAGTTGTGTCCGGTGCCATCATGATCTTTAAATGAATTTTGAGTCGTGACATGTTGGAACAGAAGGTTACCACGGCAATTCAACAAAAAGGCTTGACGAAGTTACTTGAACTAGACTATGAAGTCCAGTACAAGAAGGGAGTAGAGAATCGAGTTGCAGATGCATTGTCCCGGAAGTATGAGGGCATCGAAGAAGTGGGTGCTAGCCATCCAACAACTACTCTACAGGCCATTAGCACTACAGTGCCAAGATGGATGTTAGACATCAACAACAACTATGAAGGAGATTCCCAAGTAGCTGAACTCATTGCTGAGTTATCGATAGCTCCTGTTGGACCTCACCTATATCATTACTCAGCTGGTATCCTCAGAAGAAAAGGAAAAATATAAGTTGGAACTTCTGGTGATCTCGGACGGCAATTATTGACTACTTTCCATGATTCACCCTTTGGTGGGCACTCTGGCCAGCTGTGATCCTTCAAAAGATTATCTCAAGTGTTCTATTTGGCCTCTCATGAAACAAATGGTTATTCAACATGTAGTTGCTTATGATATTTGTCAAAGGAACAAAGATGAGACCGTTCCTTATCCAGGCCTCCTTCAACCACTTCCCATACCAGATCAATCTTGGAGACACATAAGCATCGACTTCATTGAACGACTACCCAAGTCTAAGGGTAAGGAAGTTATCTTGGTAGTTGTCGACAGAAGATCCAAATTTGCTCATTCATGGAACTGGCACATCCCTATATAGCCCTCACTGTTGCTAACAAATTCTTTAAGAAGATTCATACTCTACATGGCCTACCCGAGTCTATAGTCATTGATAGAGATAGGATATTTCTCAGCAACTTCTGGAAAGCTCTTTTCAGACTATTGGGTACTCAACTATATTTTAGTACGGCATATCACCTTCAGAGTGATGGCCAGACAGAAAGGGTGAACAAATATATTGAAAACTACTTGAGGTGTATGACCTCTCACAGACCAGTCCAATGGAAACAATGGTTACCACTAGCAGAATGGTGGTACAATTCTAACTTCCATACCAGCCTACAGTGCACCCCATTTGAAGCCTTATATGGCTATTGTCCTCTTCAACTTTCTCTAGGCCCCTTGGTTGACAACACTGTTCCTACTACTGATGATTTAGTTATGAGAAGACAACAGATGCAACAACTCCTACAAGTTAATTTGAGCAAGGTTCAAGAGAGAATGAAACTTTATGCAGATGTTAGGAGGACTGAAAGGATTTTTCAGGTGGGAGACATGGTATATTTGAAGATGCAACCGTTCAGACAAGTCTCATTGGCTTTGAGGAGAAATTTGAAGCTCATTTCCAAGTTATATAGTCCCTATAAAGTGATTGCGAAGATAGGTCAAGTGGCATACAAGCTTGAGCTTCCTGCTGATTCTAAGGTCCATCCAGTTTTTCATGTTTCTTTATTGAAAAAGAAGGTGGGCACTGGTATTAGTGCAGACTTCATTGCCTATGACCGGTGGAGATGGACAATTTTTAGTCAGGCATGTTCACATATTGCAAAGACAGATGGTGAAACAAGGTAATACAGTTGCTGCCAAGGTCCTCGTCCAGTGGTCTAATTTGGCGCTAGAGGGTGCAACTTGGGAAGACTAGCAGTTTCTCAAGTCCAAGTTCCCTGATTTTGATTCTCATCCTTGAGGACAAGGATGTTTTTAAGTGGAGGGGTATGCCATGACCCTTCAAGCTCAAATTGTGTAAATAAAAGAATTAGCTATACCGGAATTACAAATACCCAAATGAAGGGCCCAGATTAGAAGTAGTTTAATGAGCAACAACGACCCAAATCAATTCAATTGAAGATATAAGCAGCTAAGAGAGAGAGGGGGGGGGGGGGGGGGGGGGGGGGGGGGGAGGCATATCTGAATTTGGGTAAATTCCCTTTCTTTCTTCTCGATTCATGTGAACTTTGTGTTCCCTTCTCTTCTTCTTCTTCTAATAAATTTTGATCCAAAACTCTCTTTTCTGTAGGTATCCAATCCCATGAAGAGTTACTAGTTTTTTTTCCTTTATTAGTAGAATTAGTCTGTAATTCAGTCGCCAATTTTCCATTTATATAAATAGAAAATCGTCCCAAAACAATTGTTCTTCATTTAGTTTATCAAAATTCTTAATTCGATAACCAGAACTTGACAAGACCTTTTTTTTACCAAGTCTTCCCATAGGTTTTGGCCCATTATCCCCTTTGTTAAGTTTAATTATTTTGGCTAAATGACTATTATGTCCTTCTTTAAATTATTAGGTATTACTGTTGAGCTATAATTTTGATTATGCCCAACGTGTCTTGAACTTAGAATGTAGCCACTGATCCAATAAAATTATGACAAGCTTTAATAATGTTATATTAGAGCCGAAACCATGATTTACCCAGTCACCACTCTACAAGATAAATCATAATACTTGAAGTACAATTAGTATATCAAGTAATCAGTACTTCACCAGTAGTTTACAAATTAATAATCATTTGATTTGCGCTTAATTCATCAAAAAAAAAACATTCATAGTTAGTTTTCTACTTAAGGTTAATTCGCAGAAAGCAAACGACTTCGATGATTATATGTTAATGGCTTTACTTAATACAAAGCTTATATAGATATGGTTAGCTCCTAATTAAATGGTTTCAGCTTAGAAGTAGCTTACTTAGCAATGATTAGATTTCAACGTCGTTCATCATAAGAGCATCCCTATGATTAGAATTCCATTGTAGTATGTGTTAACTTACAGAAGACAAAAGACCTGAATGATCGTGTATGTTAACATTAAGTCATAAAGTTACACGTCCAATGTGAAAGAGAAAATTAAGGACATGACTTACTTAAGATGCAAGCTTAAATTCAATGATTTTGTTGAAATAATTCCTCAATTTAGTAAGTGGTAGCGATTGTCGTACTCAAAGGTTTGATAGGAGGACCAAAACATGATAAAAGCATTATTTCGTTTGATGCTATAAGTCATGTTATCGGTAATTATATATTATCCATTTCTTTTTTCAATCACTGCTCAAAATCTAAAGGGGAACAGTTTTTTTCCCAAACATTGTTACGTTCTTTCTCTTTTCTGTGGCTACAAAAGAAGAGAGATAGACTAGTCTGTAGTCAAGTTCTATGTACAACTTCGTTTTTATCTTCTACTTTGTTACTTATGTTTTTGTTAATATAAGTCAAACATATGGCCATTTAGCATTGAATTACAATATCCAATTTTGTTTTACAGAATACGTTGAATTGGTCATCAAAACCTAAATTGTTATATCAATTGCGGGAAAATATAATTAAATCTACAAACTTAGAAGATTTTATTTCCTTGGAAAAATGATTGAGTGCCTCTCAAATAATTGACTAGGATCAACAATTGAAAAGTTATTTTTGATCTTTGAGTGGTTTAATGATTAGTTCTACCTAATTAGTAGGACATGAGTGCCACAACCAATTATTCTATGTTTCTTTTTCGTCGTTGTCAACATCTAACTAAGATAAAATCACAAAGCAGAGGGAGACCACCATAAATGGATAACTCTTCTGTTGTAAGATAAATAACATAGTACATTTTTGTAAATTTAAGTTAAATACAATAATAGTGTAACTATTTCTTATACTATAAGTACAATTTAATCAACTATAATAGATCATTATTTATTTATTTCATCATATCAGGCTTGTTAATAAAAAAGCATGTGTTATCATTGATCGCAAATTAACTAAATCTGATAGTGTAAAAAATCAAATACGCGGTTAGTGAGTACAACTTAACATTAAATTGAGTTTATTTCACCACCAACTCACTCAACTTGCTCAAAACAAATCATTATCTCCATCTCCCTTAAAATAAACGAAATCTCCCAACCCCACGTCCTTAACTTAAACATCTCTGCCTTATATATTCTTCGCTCCACGTCCGGCACTGAAATAATTTGTAATCAAACTCCTCTCAAAGCAAATGAATATTACTTGTCTACCATTCATCTAATTTTTTTCTTTCATTATACTTAGATTAGATGAAGAAGATAATAAACGAGCTTAGCCATGGCTTTTGCGTTATTTTCCTCCGCCTTTTTATATTTGTGGCTTGTGCCGCAGCACAAACTGCAGAAACGGCGCCAAAACCACCATATTCATTTGACAGAAATATCAAAATAAATCCACCTATGGCTATAATTCTTGTTACCCTAATCAGTGTATTTTTTGCTATGGGAATTGTTTCAGTTTACGTACGTCAATGTGCTGAACGCCGCTTTGCCAACGACTTCGTACACGTAGATGAAAATTCTCTCCGCGGGGCAGCTCGTGGTATAGACCCAAATGTCATTAACTCTTTTCCTATGTTTCTTTACTCTGATGTTAAGGATCTCAAAATTGGTACATCTGCATTAGAATGTGCTGTTTGCTTAAACGAGTTCGAAGATGATGAAACTCTTCGACTTCTTCCTACATGTTGCCACGTGTTCCACCCTGATTGTATTGATGCTTGGCTAATTTCCCATATTACCTGTCCCGTTTGTCGTGCTAATTTACTCTCTAAACCCGGTGATGAGAAAATCACGGTTCTTGGTCATTACCCAATAAATTCCGAGTCACCCGACCTGGAATTTGGTAACCTGGTTCATGAAGTGAATGACTCGGTGATTGATATAAATGTTGCATCTCCTGAAGTGATAAACATAGCACAAACACCAGTACACAATCGTCCACCAAGGTCAACGCAAAAACGACAGAAAATTACAGGAAAATTCCCGAGGTCTCACTCGACCGGTCACTCACTGATTCAACCCGGTCAGGATTGTGAACGGTTTACTTTAAGATTACCAGAGGAGGTTCGGAACAAATTGATTAACTCGGGTTTGAGTCGAGCACAAAGCAACTCGCCGTTTCCAAGGGAGAGAAGTGTGAGGAATGGGTACAGAAGTAGTAGTGTGGGAACCGGTTCAGCACGGATTAATCATGGTTATTACGAGCGGTTTAATGAGGAAGGACGGGCGGACCGGTGGGGGTTTATGAATGTGCCTCCTTTCTTTTCGAGAGGCGGTTCAACCCGGTCGTCTAAGGATGGTAACGGAGGAGCTGGTGATGATATAACGGCGGTTAACAAGAATTTGTTTAAGACTGTTAAGCTTCCGTTTGATCGCATTTTTGAGAAAGATAGCACGGGTGAAAGATCGTTTAATAAACTTAGGTTAGGTAGTTCAAGCAATTGAGATACTTATATGATATTCTTTTTAAACCTTAAATTTGTTGTACTAATTTGTATATACTTACATTTGTTAGTTTTATGATATTATCTTCTTATCATTTCAATTTATGAAGGGAGCAAAGAATGAATTAATTGCTATGGATTAGTGAGCAAGTGTTTGACTAATACATTTGTTATGGAGTAATTAGTTTTATTTCATCTCTCCTAGGGTCAATTTGACAAAATTCTAAAATGAATTTAACTTAATCTGAATTTTGAAAATAAATTAATAGATAAAGTAATTATATTGATGTGCTATCGTGCTGAAAATATTAGAATTTGATTTTCTCCAGCTAGATGCAGAAAGGGCGCAAATTGACTGTGTCTGGCACTCTTGCTTTAGCTGAGGGTCTATCGGAAATAGTCTTTCTACCTTCGCAAGGTAGGGGTCAGTATGCGTGCACACTATACCCTCCTCAGACCATCACTTGTAAAATTATACTGAATTTGTTGTTGTTTTGTAAGTGCAGAAATGCCAATGTTTTTACTATTACCACCTTCTAATCCTGTCAATGCCTTGTTTTTTTTCTTTTCCTTGACCTTATTCATCAAAGTGATTACAATGATACTTTACCAAAAAGCAAATTGTCAGTGATACCAAATCTGCAACAACTTCATATATTTTGATATGAAATGTCCTTACTACGTCCCTCAATATCATTTAAGATTTCATTAGTTAATTAATTAGGTGACACTTTCTTCAGCAGTTGTGGCTGGCCCTGGCCCCTGAACATATCTCATCGTGCTTTCACATATAGGCCCTGATCTCAACAGACTATTTGCTTCCTTGAAATATAAGACCCTCGCTATTTGTCACTTTTTAAGAAAAGTAACTTTGTTATTGTCTAGATGTTATCCACTAGTTGAATACATTAAAAATTTGGTAATCACGAAATGGTACGTATTGATTTGAACAACAAACAACTACAAGTGCAAAGCACGCGACACATATAAAATGCTTTGTCACCAGTGTTAGAACTAAGAAAATGAGGGGTTTCAATTGATCCCTTAGTCAGAAAATTATATTGTGCAAATAGGATGAATTATTTTTTTTTCTTATGCATAAATTGTTGAATCTCCCTTAGCATAAGGATAGCTTTAAATGTAGTGGTAAAGGAGAGGTCAACAATCTATATATATTTATAAATGAGGGACCTTAAGTAGTGATGTGACATCTCTTATTGATTAGAAAATGCATTTATCTATTATCTCAATTTTTTAGGAATTTAAATACAAAAATTTCAATTATTCAATCTAAAAGAAATTCAGTTACAACAACTGGAATTAGAAAAGGCGCGTCTCCCAAAATCCTCGAGAAACGTTTCAAACAAAAATTTTACGACTTAAACCCAACATTATATTCTCTTCTCCACATCAAATGGAAAATTTCCCCAACTATTGTGCAGCATCACTATGAAATTTAGCATTACATACTTTATAATTTTTCCTAATTTTCTTCCATGCCTGAATTACACCGACAAAGATCTGAAGGTGTGAATGAACATGTTTGGTTGATCTTTGACTTTATATGTATTTGTATTAATTTCCTTTTTTTCTTTCTTCATTCGCAGTCCTTTTATTCTTTTTCCAAATCAGAATGGACGTCCGATTCAAAAAGTGCTCAAGTGCAACCAGATCTACTCAAAATGGTGCATTTTCTCTCTATGCATTTAGCCTTCTAACGCTGTAATTGCTGTTTTGTTTGGATTTTCTCTGTGTGCTTCTATGGTGCCACTCCAGTGTTTTCGTTTTTCTCTTTACTCCTTTTCATTCTTTGTATTTACCGGGAAAATGATGGGTGTATTAGAGTTGAAGAAGGATCTAAATAAAAAAAGGAAGTATGTTTTGGTGATTTTGTCGGAGAGATAACGATAATTTTGGAGAATAAATTAGAGGAGGAAGAATGTGATTTGACTGATGGTAAGATAAAACAGGGTAGCTTATTGTTTCATTTTTGTCAGTGCTGCTCGGTCTCTCTCGGGGCTGATGTAGTGTACTGGCATTGACTTGAATCATATTATTGTAAAATCGCTTTACGAAAAGATATTATATTAAATTAGGCTCACACTCACTGAACATGTGCAACGTTCTTCATATTTCCAGCGTGTCGATGCATTTGATTCAGTCAAAATAACGAAGAAAAGGATGGTCCCTGAAAATGAGCGGAATATGCATTGCGTGTGAGTAGTTACTTTTATAACTTCATCTTATCATGTTACATGACAAGTTGAAGTTTGTTGCTATCATATTAATGTCATATGGCATTCATTTTAATAATTGCTCATCTAAGAACCAAGAGGAAAATAGTGCCTTTCATCATGCACTTGATCAATGAAAGATGAAAGTCGTTGTTCAAGGTCTGTTATTATTCTACAAGTTAATCAGTACATCTTGTTACTTTATATTTGGGTGTAGTATTCTTGTATTTTCTTTTGTTCTCCTATAGCTTTGTATGATTTTGTCTTCGCCGTTGCATCTCACTCTAACATGACAAAAATGTGAAAGCTGCTAATCACAACTTTAGAACTATTTTGTTGTAAAACTTTAAATTTCTATGCATGACTTTGGGTTCTTCAAGTTATTTGTTTTTAATTTAAGAAAATCAGTTTATAATATACAAGCTTTCAGTATTGAGTTTAAAATAAAGGACAGGCATACACACTTTTTCTCCCTACCCATGACTACCCTACTGTCACGACCCAAACTGAAGGGCCATGACTAGCACCCGACCACACTTGCCGAGCACCAACACACATTTCATCTAACCTTCATTATTATCTTTTAGGGCTGACGAGATCAATATAAATGGTAGACCTAGATCATGGACAACCAGCAATAAAATATGA